CGCAAAAAAAACAAAAACCACGAGCGCCAAAACACAGTGGGGTTTAAAAGACTATAGAAATTCACCACACACTCGTCTAACACACTCTGTTTTTTTCCTTCTTAATCTGCAGTCCGTGAAGTGCAAAGTGAAACGCCAGGAAACCGAGAGCAATAAAATAAAATAAAAAAAAACTCAGATGCCAAAAAAGAGGCTGAGGGATGGATGGGGGGAACGATGTGCAGTGAAAAGGGAGTGAAAGTACTATTGTTCTTGTCTTTTTCACCTCAGCAGCAGGGGAAGCGTCTCCAATGGCACCAATATAAACGAGCACACTACAAAAACGAGAACTTTGAAGTGAAAGAAAGCTGCCTCATCGATCATTAATTTAAAGAGTTTCACTCGTCTTTTTCTCTCGACAACTCCTTTCACACGGTGGTTTTTCCGCTCGCTTTCTTTCCCTCACCAGCTGAATCTACGCGTACACACTTTACACACCAGACAGCCAAATATTTTACCCACTATTATTATAATGTGATTAATATGTTACTGATTCATATCTGAATCAGGCACATGAAGGATAGTGAGAACCTGATGCGGCTATAACGTCCCACAGCTAACAAAACCACTTGTTTAGCTTATTTAGCCTGCTTGCTAAAAGCTAATTTTAGTGATAATGCCTATCAACAACAACAACCCACCAATAAACTGTTTATTTTTACACCTTTATTCAAAAAGTAACATTCAGTTACTTCAACCCAAACAAGTAAAAAATGCTAATTGTAATGCTAATTTAGGTTTTAGCCTGATTGCTGTAATGCTACCTGGTGCTGGGTGGAATGTAATTTTTGCTTATTATTTTGTTTTTAATCTTTCTCTTTTGCACTTATGGTATTAAATAATGCAAATAAAATGATTATTATTTATTATTTAATTTATTTAAACTTTCAGAAGAGATTGTTGTTGCTTGAAATATGTAGTTTATTGCTTGTTAAATGTGTATCATCAAAAGAGTTGAGAATACCACAAGCATGAACTGTTACTTCGAAGAAAAAAAAAAAAGAAAAATTGGAAACCTTGATTTGTCATGCTTAACTTCATAATTACACAAAATGTATATTAACTCTCAGGTGGGATTGTGAATTAGTTAGATTTGGTATAAATGAGGTGTAATTAAATCTGTTAGCGCTAACTCCACCCCTTGCTCTTACTCATACCAAACAGAGCTCCACACATAGCAACAATTCTTACTCATTTATACTCACAACTATGTGTTAGTGTGTGTTAAATCAGTATTTCCCCATCCTGCCATACCAAGAATACCCTGAGAGTGTATGTCAGGTTTAATACAGGATTGTGTAATAAAGTAAAACTCAAAATAACAGCTAAATGTGCTGTAATGCACAGTCCTTGCTAATTAGCTTACAGAATACAATTATGCAAAGTTTAGCTATTTCAGCTATTAGGAACGGTTCTTTTCCCCAATTTTTTTTTTGCTTCAGTATAAACAATAAGATGAAATTGAATTCCAATGTAAAATTGTCTGAGATATCAAACCCACTTTTAAAGAACAGGCTCTTACACAGTGAGATCCTTGAAGTCTCTGAAATAACATCACAGGGTTTGAAGTCACAAGGAGTGTGTTTGCTATAAAAATAAAAACACTAGGAAATGGAAATGGAACCATGTGTGATTGAATAAAATCTCTGCTGAGATGAGAAAGATGTTGGACATTTACGTTATCGTTCTTTCTGATCTCGGGCAGCTCCAATTTGTGTTGATGAATAAAAAGAGTAAGCTTCGCAAGGTCAGACCAAACCCAAGCCACAAAAAGATACTAATCCTGGTGTAGTGTGCACTAATTAGCAGTGTTCTGTCCCAGTGGCTTAAGCCAGCTTTAGATTTTATAGCAGTGATTTTAAGTTGGATGGATGGAAATGGACACATGAATGGACTTCAGCGTAATAAACAAAATAGCCTCGTTTACATTTACAGCATTTAGACGTCACCGTTCTCCACAGCAGTATGGTGTCCAACAAGGCTCTGCTTTAGGCCTAATGCTGTTCTTACTTTAAATATTCCTTAGGCATTTAATTCACAGACACACTGTTCCTTATTTATCATACTGAATATGAACGAATTTTGTCATTCATGAAGATCCAGTTCAGAAAGGCATTTGTATCCAAAGTTTTTCTCCTGAGATTGTGTAAATTTACGTATAAGGAGACTCCCTAATGTGAACCTCGATTGATCAGCTTCAAGTCATATAATTGTTGATATGTTACTGCAATTTTATATATGGATTATGCCGCAAAGTTTAGATCACTTACTTATTTGAATTACCCTCCAATTTAATGAACATTTTGTGAAACTCTGTTGCTTATATTAATGGCATTAATTAAGGAAATATTAACTGGATATAGTGTAGGTTAATTCACGCCTAATTCGTCTTTGTCTGTATTTTGTCTCCAGATTTTGCCCCTTTCAGTTGCTGGTAAATAATGCTTTAAAATTTTAATTGGTGTAGAGTCCAAATCGTTAACTTGCACTTCTGCCTCTGAGAAATTCCTTTTCTTTCGCTGTTTTGTCCTTCTTCTGTTTTCAGCTTTCTGTGAAGTTTACCTTTCATGGAGTAATAATTGCGGTATAATGATATTCATTAAAGGTCAATGAGGTCATCATTACTATTCCATATTTAATTACCCCAGATATCACAAGCACTCCCTTAGTTTGTTTAATCACATTTTATTGGCTACCAGCTGCTGTGGTGATTGGATTAACCAATCAGAATCAAGTATTTTCCCCATTTCTATTTGAAAACTACTAGTAAGCTCTGAGCTCAGGGATATTGTGGTGAGGGCCGATGAAGTTTGCAAGAGGAGAAAAAAAAGAAAAAGAAGTGTGGATCTGTTTTTATAAGATAATATGTAATTTTGTTCTATCACTTGCGTCTTATTTTAGTAATTTTCAGAGGAAATGCCACATTTTATGGCAACGTTATTAATATGGAAGGATTGGCTTTCATTTCCTCATCTGCCCCTAAAATTAATTCCTGGCTACACCACTGATGGAACTGTAGTTGGTAGCAGTACAGCGGTAATCAAAAACTACATTCAGATTAAACAGGAATATTGAGGAAGTCTGGCTTCAGTAAGGTTTCTGGTTTCACCTTCCAGCTTGTTGGTTAAAGTTAAGAATCGTGCATAATCCTAGATGCTGGTTTATCATTCAATTATCACATAAGTGTGATATCACTAAAACTGTATATTAGCATTTGAGAAACTTTGAGAAGTGCTCAAAATATTCTTATCTGTTTTTCCCCAAATCAAGAAACTGTTGTTTATAGTCGACAACAATAGGCATCTAATAATATTTAATCCATTTCATTTTTGTTTTTTTTGTTTTTTTACATTCCAGAAAGATCAGAAAAGTGTGCTGAACACTATCAGACTCTACTATAAAGCTGGGATACAATTATAGTGCTGCTGTGAGTCAAACTGGGGTCCTTTAAGCAGCATTTCATTATAATGCATTCTAAACAGAGAATGGTCATTATTCTAGAGCCCAGTAAGGCAGTGTTTAGGTCTTTGAGTTGTAGTTAGAGCAGGAGTTCTTGAAACCTGGCAACCCTCCGTATGAACTTCAACAAACTGTCCTCCCTTGCTCCAAATTAAAGTAAGTGGAACTTTTTTGTTTTGTTCTTTCGATTTCAGCCTGAAGCTTTCTGGCAAAATAATAATAATAATAATAATAATAATAATAATAATAATAATAATAATAATAAAAGTTCATAAACTATTCATATCTGTATGTATATTTGTTTGCTTGTCAGTTCTATCATATTCATTCTCATGTATTTGTATTCCATGATACTGCTAGCATGTCAAAAGCAGAGCTTAATTCAAACCAAACAATATTTAACTTGACACATCCTACTGATTTTTTGGTGAACTGGGATGTTTGGATGTTGTCACCCCTCCTTCTCCCGTCTGTGTTACCTTCTGGCGCTCCCTTTTAGTTATGTTGTGATCTGGCTGGAGTCTCAGTTTGCAATCGGCATTTTCTTAAACCATTACAGGACAAAAGCATCCATAATAATCTGTCTTTTTCACCTGAAAAATCACTCACTGATGCTAAAAATGTGCCAACTGCAAATATGAGCTAATCAGAACGCCACTCAGTTCTCTTAAACAGTTTGTTATCAGTCAGTTTCCTTCTCATCTAATTTTATTTCAGCATCACAACTGAATTACTTCATTACTTCTTTACTATTTTGCAAGGCTGCAAATTGGTTAGTGTTAATGGATTCATTTGCCTAAATATCGTGCTAGTACCCTTACTTCATGATTCTAAAATGCATTGTGGAATATAACAGTGTCTGGAAACAAGAACCTCTTCATGTCTATTGTTTCTCAAAAATTCCTTCATAAAAAAGGAAACTATGGGGCTAAATAAAAGCATGCTTGAGGCGAGTCCTTGTCCTAAAGGTGAATCTGGTGTATTTATATCCTTCCTCATGTTTCAAATTTATCGTAATGTGCTCAAGTAAAGTGTACAATATACAGTGAAATTCTTACTTGTGCATTCTTCCACGTTAACATCACAACGTAGACATGAAACATACATTATATACATAAATGCACAGTTAAGACAGCTGCACGATTGCTCAATGAGTGAGAGTGCCACAGTACTTGTTAACATGTAGGACTTTGGATGCTTTAGTTAAATTTGGAAATAAAAAAGATCAAATTAAGAAAAATGTCCCAAGATTGTGAGTGCTGTTTGCATTTGTTATTTTCCATGTGCCTCTGTTTTGGTGGTAGTCCTGTCTCCACTCTGGTCTCTTCATTGGTTTCTTCTGCAGTTGTGTTCACCTGATTTGTATTCGCCCTTGATTAGTTTGCTTACTTATACTCTGGTGTTTTATACTGTAGACATTTTTACTAATTTCAAGCTTGAAGTATTCCTGTTCTGTTGGCATTTTTTTTCTTCTAATTTTAAGCATTTATTTCTAGAAAGGGGGGACAGTGGCTTAGTGGTTAGCACATTTGCCTTGTGCCTCTAGGGCTGGGGGTTCAATTCCCACCTCTGCCCTGTGTGTATGGAGTTTGCATGTTCACCCTGTGCTTCAGGGGTTTCCTCCAGTTTCCTCCCCCACTCCAAAGATATGCCTTGTAGGCTGATTGGCATCTCTAAATTGTCTGTAGTGAGTAAATAGTATCAGAGTGTGTACCCCAAAATGGGTTGGCACCCCATCCAGGGTGTCCACTGCCTTGGTCCCTGAGTTCCCTAGGATAGGCTCCAGGCTCCTCATGATCCTGTGTAGGATACACAGTACAGAGAATGGATGGACGGATTTCTAGAAAGAAGAAAAATGATCTATCAAAAGAAAAATTAAAGCTTGAACTGCAAAAAATATATATTTGATTTATAATAGTCTCATAATAAGAAACTGTGGATAAATTTGCCCATATTCAAGATATTTTCTTGAACTTGCTAAGATATATTTGTTTTTGCAGTGAAGCCTTGCTGATATCATCATGCATCTCTAAGGCTAAATGTCTACTTTCTGCAGCATGAATATCTCTCTCCACTTTCATCACCAGCGTTTTGCTGGTTGAGGGACATGTCCATCTACAATGTGGATGCCATGAATAACTCATGAAAAAGTGGATTTCAAACTATCTTCTTATTCAAGTAAGATTGCTTCTTATTCAAACTTGGTTCTAAAAAGGCAGTCTGAGTTAAATATCTTTGTGACGTATGACAGTTGTGGCAATTATTCGCACGCAGTGGACATGTATCTTTGGCCTGTTGTTTCCATGTTCTAGCCTGTCTTTGTTTCCCCCACCATAATTCTCCCTAATTTGGTCACCTTTCCTGTTGCACCACTTGGGCGCTCTAGCCTCTCTTCATTTTGACCTGCTCTTAGTGTACATTTATGATTTTTAAAAACAAAGTTTTTTTAGTGTCAGTTCATAGGGGGCCCTTATTTTTGCTAAGCATCCGTTCCTTATCTAAGGGCTAAATCTAAGGTGCAAAATAAGCAGAGAGTAACACTGAAATTAATTGTGATAGTAAGGAAGTGACTCAGGAAATATTGAAAAGGTTCATTTTTCATCACATTTTCACTCCTCTAGTTTGTACATGAATGAGTGTATAAAGGGTTTGGTTTCATGACCAGTCAAGTGAGGTGAAGAAAAATGGGGAAAAACATAATTATGCAACGTGCAGGTGTAATACAAGGAAACAAAATTCGAGTCTTATCTGTGAGCTTCATCTGCAGTTTCTTCTCCTGTTCTGTCATTTTGGCACTGAAGGACTACAGGAAGCTGAAATCACAAACGTGACAACAAACATGTGAGGATGTGCAGTACCTCTGTGCAATACCTCTGCTGTAGTGCTCACAATTTAGCAATGATGTGTCATATAAATAAATAAATAAATAAATAAATTAATTAATTAATAAAATGCAAAAGACAGCTGTTCTGTGAAGCAGCAGTCAATACAAAGTAGCGTTACTTTATTTTGTTTCATTTCTATTTTGTTTTATTTTATTTATTTGCGAAGTGGGCATCAAAAATCTAAAAAAAAAATTCCTACATAATAATTAGCATTTTTTTCCAGGAAGAAGAAACAAGAACTCCTTCCTCAGAATTAAAGTCTAAACTTTAATTAAAGTCTGCTTCAGTACACTGAAATTTTCTAGAACAGCAGCTCTGACAGTAGCAGCTGCAAATCACATCTTTATATTAATGAGCTCATTCTAATGCATTATTGTTTCTATAGTAACAGCTTGTTCACGTGGACTTATATGGTGGACTTTCCACATAAACAGATTTTTTTAAAAGTTGACATGGTGAAGGTTTCTGTGAGTTTATTTTACATTTACGGAAGGAGTCTCCAGTATCAGTGTTTTGTAACAGTCAGAGCTAAAGCTGTACCGAGCTTTTTTTTTTTTTTTTTTTTTTTTAGATCTTATTAACTTCAAGAGAGAAGCTGGTGAGGGAAAGACTTTTTATAGCTGCTATAACATAAGTAAGAACTTGTTTGGTGGATGTTCCACAACATTAAATGTAACTATAAAAGTATAAAAAGTATGATGTGTCATTTTTTAACGAATAAAAATTGTAATTGTTGACAAACTGCTGTGGTATAATAGGAACAAAATACTTGAGGATGTGCTGTTATAGGAAAATAATCAACTTTAGGGTAGTAACAGAAACTCCATTTCATCATACCAACCCGCCGTTGTTGTTGTTGTTGTTGTTGATTATTACTTATGTAATAAGAGACTGATTATGTTTGTCTCCAAAAGAAAATAAGAACAGTTTATCAGCTGATATTGTTCTGAATATTCTGTCTCAATCGGATGACGTCATGAAATGAACACCCTATCACACACACTCCAGAAGAGACTGAAACACACACCCACTATGTCGTCATTTACTCCAAACCCTCTGTTATCATGTTGTCTTGTCAGCCACACAGCAGCCGCCAGAACTTTGCCATATGTAAACTTTGATTTATTAATGATGTATTTGCATAAAACAGGAGGAATGACGTGTGTGATGGTGGACAAAAAAAGCACAGGATAAGTGTGTGTTATCACACAGGCCACACGCAGGCTCTGATGGAGGTCATGACCTCGTGTCTACTATGTTTATACACACTCAGTGTGTGAGAGTGATTTATGAGCAGGGTCTAAAGGAGCAGCCATGACGAACAGAGATAAAGCCATTAACATACCTGATGTACTTGGTCTAAAATAACACAACAGCTGGATTTATTAATAAAAACACAGGGAAATGAGTGTGTGAGGAAACAAAGAGTGTGACTGAGACAGAGCAAGAGGGGCAGGGACAGCGAGGTAGGGAGGGAGAGGCAAATAGAGGGAGAGAGACAGAGAGAAAGATACAAAGCAAGAAAGAGACAGAGGCAGAGAGGCAGACAGACAGAGAGAGAGAGAGAGAGAGAGACAGATCTGGTCTTTTGACTTGTAAGTGAACTCTAACATGAGTCAAGTGCGATGAGAAAGCGATTTGACTCTAATGCTAAACTAAACCTCTAAATGTTTAGCCATTAAAAGCTGTAATATGAACCAAAGGACAGAGCTGTAACTCCGTTTGTTCTGGATATGTTACACAAAAATATTTTTAAGTAGGAATTTGTATTAGTATTTCCACACAACTAGCTCATAGACACAGCAACAACTGCTGAAATTGCAAATTTTAAACCGCAAATTTGGACTCGATGCCCTGTTTGTGAGGAGTTATTATTTGAATGTGCTAAAAAATACTGTTCATTTTACTTTACACAAAGTAAACTGTACAGTAAGCTGTACTTTGTTACTTTGTACAAAAGCATGTTAATATTTTATTTTATTTTATCAAATTAACGTGCTTTTGCCTTGGCGTCAAACTAATGGAAAAAAAGTCTGAAATCCAGACTCGGATTGAGTCATTATTCTTCTTTACTGACAGATTTAACACCACTTTGTGACGGTGATACAGGTTTTATTTTTAAATTTATGACTCATCTTATCTTATCATCTGATTGATATCACTGCTGTCTGAAGGTTAATTGCTCTCACTAATTGTTTTCTCGTTAACTAATGACCGATCCTGAAGAAAACGTCATGACTGTGTGAGTGAAACAGCTTCTAAAACAGAGGTAGCCATGTCATTAAACTTCAAAAGGACATTTTTATACTATAAATTCAACATTTCAACATTTACATGTGACACAAAAACTCTTAAAAAAACTTACCTAAGGAGTAAAAAGTATGACATGTCACTCTTTAATAAGTAAAAAATTGTTTTTGCTGATTGTTAATGGGTCATATTTTATTCCCTACTCGCCATTTTTTCTTTTTTTTAATCACTTTACAGTGTCTTATTTCTACCCAGTTGTATATTTTTAGTAGAACATTTTTTTTTCAAAGCACTTTTTCTCTTCTTCATTTTTTGTCTCTTCCTGCATAGAAATGACTCAGGACAAAATGTTTCTATTATATGATTTTATTGCATAATAAAACATACAGTTTGATCTACCACATGATGGTGAATTATATTACAGTTATGTATAGTATTTAGGTAAAATGTTTTAGACTGCGTGCTGCTCACTTGACGTCACATCGGCAACACTCTGACACCGAGCGGCATTCACTTTTCCTCCTAGACGATCAGATATTATAACATTAATGATATTCAGTCTCAACAGAGCATCCCTGCTGACTGTGTAATTTAATTTCAGGTTAGAGTTAATCAGCGTCTGGAACTCGTGCTGCTCTGTCATTTCTCACTTAACACCATTACGTCTGATTTCCCTATTAATTTACATTTCTCATTCCCTCTTTAGAGTTATTAGTCTGATTCACTGTTTTAGATTTTCACATGTAGGGAAACCGGATTCCCCCCCCCCCCCCCCAACATAATTAATGTTTTCACATGATTTTTTTCATGATTCAGTTTTCACGTGTGATTTTCTTCCATAATTCATTAAATTTCACAAGTGATTTTACATGATACGTTTATTTTCACGTGGGGTTTTCTCACATGATGAATTTTTGTATGTGATTCGTGTACTTTCTTGTGTCTTGTGTAATTTTCTTTTTAAGCAATATTCACTGTTTTTCACATGATTATTTCATTTTTCTCATGAAGACATTATTCACATCATGCATGTGCATAACGTGCTGAAACGCACCGTCACATGTTCTTCACATGTGATGAAACTTATGGTGAAGTGAAAGGGATATGATTTTTCTGTAAGGATAATGTCTGCGGTTTAATCAGTGTTGGGTATTAAAATGAGAATGCGAATTTTCCGCTTGTAATCATGACTAAGATTTTTATGTCTGGAAATAATTAAAAAGTCACTTTGCTAGGATGTTTATGTTAATCTTGATTAGCATGTGGAGGTTTCTTTCTGCTTTCTAATATCAGGATAAGCTTTAATTCATGCACAGAAAATTATATAGTTAGGAGTGGTGTTCTGTAAAAAAAAAAACTCAATGCTAATTAACTGACTGCTAACTATTTTTTGATATTGTCTATTTTCATAATTTGAGCTAGTCACTCGTCTCCCAATAG